GAGGAACCACAGTCCAGTCTTTCGCTGTTTTCAGGGTGGCCCTGCAAGCCAGATCTAAGCACCTTGCAGGTTGAATCCGAGCCCCGGGCCCTGAGTTTGACACCCCTGATGTAGTTGATGACTCAACCAGAGATTGGGACCTGTCCTACAAGCATGATCCTATTCCTCCAATTGCTAGACACTAGAGGGTAGACTGAATTCTTGTCTTCTGTAGAAGTGCTTGTCTATTATTCCATACTCCTTATGTACGTTTTAAAAATATGTAAGTTTTTAAAACTTTTGAAAGAACATTAGTCCTATGATGAGAAACAGTTGAACTAACCCAAGAAAGGGAACCAGATTTTATCATTGTGTGTTGCTTGTTTTGTCACTAATATGTGCATTACAGGTTTTCATATACTTTTCCTAACATGGGGTTTTATGTGGCCATCTTTTGGAGTGTTTTTGTTATTTTAGACAGGGAGTTCATTTTTGGCTTCTCCATGGCTTTGAGTGCTGATGCCAGCCTTAATGCACAATGGAGGTTTATAATGCAGATAGTAAAATGTATGCTATTTGTACACTTGTAAATGTACACTTTTTCTAGACTGAAATATAGCACTTTGATGGAGCAATCTGTCTGTGCCCTAAATCTTTCCATTATTCCATTCTCAAAATCCACATTTGGCTAGAGAAGGAAAAATCATTTCCCCATAAAGCAGTCTTCCCCAACTTCTCCATCAAACTATGGGACTATAACGTATGTAATATTGCTTGAGAATTCTGGAAGTATTCATCTGGAGGACACAAGGCTGGAAAAATATATCTTAGATATACTTATTAATGCAGATATATTTGTGACAATGTATGATATAATATGAATTATTTGATGAATATTAAAAATGGCAAAATACCACAGAAATGCACACTTGCACAACTGAATTATAAGGAATCTGTTAAATGTTCTAAATATGGTGACTTTTAGAAGAATTCAACTATAAGATATCCAGTTAGTAAGATAATGGCTACAGCTTAACAGAGGTTGGGACTGCAGTTTTAAAGCATGCAAAAAAAGATCATAAACATGAACATTCCCTTCAAAGGAGGCAACTTAAATCAAATAAACTGTCAAGATAGTCTGCATACCTATCTGACAGCACAAACTATAAAGATGATACACTTATTTCAGGGATGCATAATGTTTTCTCTTATACGAAAACCATTTTTTAAATGTGTTCATCTTTATTATATGGTCAAACATCAATAACACAAGAAAGTTGGCAATGTACTTCACCCTGTTTTCACACTTCTAAAGTTTTTTTTATTACTTTTACTTCCGTTGGTAGGAAAGCCCACTGTTTGATGCAGATACTTCAAAGGAATTTTTTGTTATAAGGTCAGACACGTAAGTTAGGAAGTAGGTAGACAGTGTGACAGCAAGCCGAATACTTTGCTTCACTATGTTACATATTTGAGAAAAAGTATATACACTAAGAATCTGACTGAAAAGCGTTTCTCATTATATATGCGCGCACACACACACTATATGTGCGGGTATATGTATGCACTGAATATACTGTATACATGTGCAAATACACACACACACACACACTGTATGTGTGTGTATGTATGTATGTATGTATGTATGTATGTATGCATGCACCAGGGGTGGGTTCTGGCAGCCGCTACTGCCAGTTCGCTTGTGGTCGTGCAGCATGCACGTGTTTGCTTAATGTGGCTGTGTGCGCATGCGAAGTACTATACAAATGTTTCTGCCCATGTCCTGCCGGGAGAACCAATTTGGGGGCGTGGCAGGCCTGGGTCACTGCCAGTTCCAATGACCCAGGCTGCCAAACCACTACCAGTTTGGCTGAAATGGTCCAAACCGGTAGGAACCCACCACTGGTATGCACTATATATATTGTATACATATGTGTGTGTATACACATAAATACATACACACACATGTGGGTGTGTATTTGTGTATGTGTATACAGTGTACATACACACTCACATACACATACACAAACTTTTTAACCATTAAGGAAATGGTTACCATCTTACCACAATAACAAAAACAAGCAAAACAAGAACAAGAAAGTAAGGAGAAAAATCTGGAACATATCTCATTTCAAAGAATGTATGACTGTTGTGATGGCGGGAAAGTTTATGGACCCAAAATCTTCCAATGCCTTCTAAAATGTGGGGCCTGTTCATGTTTAAAATTCTCAACCACAAAACATGGTTTATATTTTTATTCAAGTGCAAGTGTTCCAATTGAAACCAAGAATAAAGCAGAATAAGTAAAGAAATTACCTAGATACAATAAAATTTGACCCAGCAAAAAAAATACATACAGAAATGCAACTTTAATAGGCCTATTTGTTGTATTTACACCCACATGCACATACATTTGTACTTTCAAGCATACTTTCTAGCATTTGAGTTACAGGAAACCATTTCTATTTCAACTGATGCAACTGAATCCAAAGTTGTGCTGTACTGATTGATTGTTATCGTCTAACATTGTATATACTACTTTCAGCTCTTTGAAGCATCTTAGCAGTTTTTCAAATTTTGAAGGAAAAAAAAAACAACCAAAAAAGGTTATGCAGGAACTACTGGCTATTCAATTGCACAAACTTTACTTTGCAAATCAAAGCGAATAATCTGTTTAAAAGTGAAAATACAGTGTTCAATTCATTGATACTTTTGTCATAAACAAAATACATAGTTGAAGCCAGTGTCATTATAAATAAGGCACAAAGCATAGCCAGTCATTTTTAGACAGTATACCTTTACTCACCATCATTTACACACACTTCAGGTTTTTAACCTAGGCTGCCTGTTGTGTATGTTTAGACAGAAAAAGAAACTTATTCACTAGATTCCCCTTTTAATGAAATATACTGATGTACTTTTTCCTGTAGCATGTAGCCTTCTTTCTTCTCCTTTTTCATAATCTTTGAGGTTAAATAAATGGATTCTTTCCATGGTTTAGAGTCGTATTAATATAATTATACATGGGCAAGAAAACTAACTGCATCAGTTATTCTTAGTATACATTGAAATAGGACTACAATTCTTTAAGAAATCAGCAGAATTATTAGTGATTGGAAACAGTCATTTCTGTTTTACGGGCCACATCTTGGAGCTTATTCTCATAAAATCTGTGGTAAATTTTTCTTCATCTTGATCTCTGGTTACTGTTTCTCTAAAATTCCCTAATAGTAGAAATCGATGTATATTTCAAAGTCTGGACCAAACAAAGCAAAAACAAACAAACAAACCCAACAACATTCTGTCCATTAAGCAGAAGATATTGAGGAAGAAAAACCTAATTATATGTAGTTCTCTTTTCAACTTTGTGATTATTGAAGTGTTCACTAAGTGAAACTGCAATTATGCTTATGATCTTGGTTATAGCATGTATAAGACCTTTAACCATGGCCCAGAACATTTTTACAGTGACTGAAACATCTTACACGTATGCCAAATCAATCAGAAAGTGAGAGAGGGAATGCTCAATCATCCCATGTCTTTCCTTCAGCTCTGAGACGTAGTGCACAGGATCAGCTTTGACTAAAAAACTAGCAGTTCTCCTTTCTTTTAGATTTAGTTGCTAAAACATATATCACAAAACTAGAATGAACATAGTTTTTTTTTTTTTACTCCTATTGCAAGAAAAGATATCATATTCCTGTTTAGATACTATTAGAAAACCCTGGGTAGTTCAGGTGCTTGCTGTCATCTTAACATGTGGTTTGTAAGCAGATATGGCAAACACAGCAATGCCCAAGGGATCAGAAAATATCAATTTAAAATTTATAATGTTAAAAGAGTAGTCGTAAAAGACTACTTTAGAGTCAACAGGCTGGATAAATTCTCTGTGGGGACAAGGTCATAGAACATATGGTGGTATCACAGTTCCCTGAGTTTCTTAAGGAATGATTAGTGAACTTATTTCTAATCTCAAATTGTTACTTAAATTGATCATCATGGAAGTCAATGGGGGAGTGCATCCCTTTTGGTTCTATAGGACCTACTTAGCCAATACTACTTTTGAACATGGCATTGTCTATAGTTCCTTGGAGGGCATAGATCAATAGCGCATTGTCTGTGATAATTGAAATCAGCATGATGTAATACTTTGTGAGGCCTACTTTCTCCTGCTTCACCACACAGTAGCAAAGGAGAGGCTAGTCAGTCACTTGTTAAAATTCAGAATTTTCCCATCCTTGCCCCAAATTACATCATTGTTTTGATTGGTGAATTATTTCCTGTCACCTGTAATGTTCAGAAAGACACAGGGCATCAAAGCCAGAAAGGTTAAGCAATCACTATGCTTAATATATCCCAACATGAAAGCTTTAACAGAAGTAATGCTGCAGGATAGGAATTGGCAATAAGGTCACCAAATGTTATGTCAATGTAGTTTCTGCTTCAGGATGGGCGGGAAATAGTTGGCCAATGGGGAAAAGCATGACCAGAGCCGAGGCGGCGCAGTGGTTAGGGTGCAGTACTGCAGGCCACTTCAGCTGACTGTTATCTGCAGTTCGGCGGTTCTAATCTCACCGGCTCAAGGTTGACTCAGCCTTCCATCCTTCCGAGGTGGGTGAAATGAGGACCCAGTCTGTGGGGGCGATATGCTGACTCTGTAAACCGCTTAGAGAGGGCTGAAAGCCCTATGAAGCGGTATATAAGTCTAACTGTTATTATTATTATGACCAGTTGCCAGTCCCCTCACATTTGGCAATAAGATGTCTTGGAATGGTTCTGATCTCTCATATCTGATGGTGATGGAGCTCTTTACTAGACTGTGCATTATTCTTTTAGCCTACAATGAGAAATTCAAAGCTTCCCTATTATTAGAAATAAGAGATTATATAGTAATTCTGAAGATAGGTGTATCTTCCCAGGCTGAATGGAACCAGTGTGTATTATATCTCACAATACAAAGAGGATCATAGTAGATAGTTAATAGTTTCTAGCTTTTTGCATTGTTTGCCATAATCACTTACCCATCCAAGAGTGTGATAACATTTTTTCTAGGTCTCCCAATATTGGGCCCGTACAGACTGGCTCGGGAGTAGGTGCGGATTAACTGTAGCAGTCTCTTCAGCTGCGTATAGTCCTTGCCGAACTGAGTGCCATTCACTGCTCGTCCTGTGAGGGTTCGGTAATTATTTGGTTCTGTAAGAAAACAGAAAAAAACATTAATCAACCTTGACAACATCCTGACAACTCACCTGATAAACCTTCACCAGTTTAGAGGCATTGCATGTAGCCCCTGACTTATGACCATTCATTTAGCGTTGTTTGAAGTTGCAACAGCCTTGGAATAAATAACTTATACTCATTCTCAAAGTTATGTCTGTTGCACCACCCGCATGGTCACATGACCTCAATTTAGTTGCCTGGCAAGCAGTACACATTTACAAATGGTCAAAGCATCTTGCAGTCACATTATCATGGTTTGTGATTTTTTCAGCTGGTTTTGGATAAGCAGCGTCAATTGGGGAAGCTGGATTCACTTATTGACAGGAGTAACTGCAGGAAAAATGGTTCTAAAATCAGGTCTGATTACATGAATATTCACTTTATGATCTCCCTGACTTATCATGGAAATTCCTGTCCCCAGTGTGATTGTAAGTTAAGGACTATCTTTAAGCATAAGGAGCATATCTCCTTAAAAGGCATATCACTTGGTCATCTAGCTGTATCTTGGAATGAATCTAACTCAATTCTGGATATAGTGATGTAAGATGGCCCTGTAAATATATTTATCCCTAGGTACTTGCAAACCTACTCGTTTATATACTTGATCTCACATTTATTGCACTAAGGGGTACCTATCTTTATTCAACTCATTTGTTTTATTTGGATCCCTGTAGGGATGAGTTGCACTAACATTCCATACAACAAAGCTTCATTGAAAAAAGTTCCGAAAGTAGTGCTTCTTTGGTCCTTCTATTCCCTTCCCTTCTCCCAATCCCCATCCTTAAAGTTCACTTACCATTGCCCAGCTCCCAGGAGATATTGTATTTCTTGCTGGCACTGTACTTGAGCAGACTGAGGGCATTGGAGCTGTTCCAGGAATTGTTGGGATTCCGGCGTAAAGCATTTAGTGCAAAGATGAGATGCAGGCCAGAGCAGTCAGCAAAATTATAAAGTTTGTCTAGAGACCTGGCTGGGGAAAAAACAAATCCAACCTGAAACTCAAATGCAAAGAGGAACCCTCTTGGCTACACTGAAAAATGCCTAGGGGTAGGACTATATCAAAACGTAGCCCTACAAAAATACAAAATATATTTTTCAAAATCTAGTTGTTACAGAGTTTCATTATTATCTAATCCTTCAATACAATTGTATGATCTGTCATAAAAGGACATACTCAGGAACTCACCTAATGATTGTTTCATTATAGCAGTTGGGGGGAAAACACCAGGATACATAAAGTCTACCTTACTATTGTAAACCTTCCTTGCATCTCTGCTTTTCTAGTGTCATAGCCCTTCATAGCCTTCAGTTTGCCAAAGAGTTGTGGTTAGCTACTAGAGAAGGGGAAACCAACAATGAATGAATGTAATGGTACAATTTTAGAGGGGAGATGAACTTATTGAAAAAAGACCAGTAAATGCTAATATGATTATGGTTAGTTGAATAGCCAGATGTTTAGGCTAGATTTGGCATACCTGTCTACTTATTGAATCCTTCCAAGGACCTGGGATAAGCATATGTTGTTTGATAATATTAATGGGATTGTTGCAGAATATAAGCCATTCCAAATAAAGTTATCTTTTGTAATTGACTGATGGTAATTTTGCCACTGCTGGTGGAATTCAAGTTCCACATATTTTGGAATTGCACCCAAGATGCCTATTACTATTGGTACTATCATTATTTGGGTTTTTTTTGGCCATGGTCATTTTACTTCTATATGAAGATTTTTATATTTTATTATTATTATTTTGATTGGTTGAATAGTCAGCCATGTGTTTATAGAGACTGGATTTGGCATTTTTATCAACCTATTGAGCTCTTCCCAAAGATATGGGGGTAGGCAGATATTGTTTAATAATATTAAAGGTACATCGCAGGACATAATTGTTGTCTTATCAATGTTGTTGTTCATAAACATTGTTGTTTCATGGTGTTCAAAGTATCAAAGTATTGTTGCAAGATGTAAGCTGTTTCAAGTACAGCCATCTTTTGCAATTGAAAGATGGTGATTTTGTCAATGCTGGTGTTCAAGTGATGCTCCAGTTGTTCTGAGATTACACTCAAGACACTTATAACTATTGGCACCACCTTTGCTTCTATTATTATCAAGATTTTGAAGTAGTGACAGACTATTTCCCTAGAGCCCCCTCCCTTCCCAATTCACAGAACAGTAACAATGAACAGAAAACTATAAGAAATCTAGTTATAGTGCAGAGACATCACGCTTTGGTTTTCTGAACTGTAACACATGATTGTGAAATCTGAATTATCAGAAGCATTGATGCCTTTAATTTATGGTGCTGACAAAAGCAATTGAAAATATTTTGGATTGCAAGAACATAAAATTCAATACTAGATGAAATAAAGCCAAGCTATCCACAGGAAGCTCAAATGATGAAGTTAAAGCTTAGTGATTTTAGACATATAACATGAAGGCAGAAATAATAAGATTGGAAGGAACATGTAACATGAAGGCCCTTGTTCCTAGACAAAGAGAAGGTAATCAAATCTGAGGCCAACAGTGGGGTGGCTGGATGCTATCAGTTTAACACAAGTTTATGATACATGTATAAACTTATAAGATGTCAAAGAAAAAACTATTGACAAGTGATCCTGGTAAAATGCTGTCCAGTGGGTTGTAAACAATTGGAAATGACAATGAAGTAAGATTCATGATTATTTATTAGTTAGTGGTTGTGAATTCTTTCATGTTGATTGGTATATCTTGTGCTAAACATACATGTATTATTGTGCAAGTTTCCATTTTCAGTTCAGATGCATTTATACATAAATGTGTATGTATAAATGTGAAAGCCTCTTTATCGTACTTTGAATATGCCCTCCTCCTCACTTTTTAAAGGAGTTATTATTTTTATTACAATTAAATAATGTTATTATTAATTTGCTTGGCATAAAACCATATTGGAAAATATATATACTGCTTACTGCAAAGATATATGTTTTAAATTAAATAGCAGTAAGGAAATCCCTTCCTATAAATGTATCCTATTTATTATGCTTCTGATGTTAGATTGGGTATTTACACTATTATAAAATGTGAGAGACCTAAATGTATGTGAAGGTCTTTCATAGTTGAGTGCTTCCTAAAGAAAAGCCATGACACTGAATTACATAATGACATAGTCTATTTCTTTTCAGTAGAGCTTTCTTTCTTTGTAGGCTCTGATCCAAAGTACCAAATACCAATAGAAGAGAATATGCATAGCTCAGAGTTGAACTGTAGATGCATAGATGATGTTACCTAGTCAGATAATCAAACATCTATAAGCAAACAACCAAACACAGACAACACCAAGGACTCCACAAATTAGCAAGTGTCATTGTGACCCCAGAGGGTCATATTTTTGAAAAAGGAGTAGGTTTTCCTTTTTCAAAAACAAATGTTAAAGAATGAAAATTATTTTTTCAACAGCACTTACTTGAATAATTTATTTTTTCAACAGTTATTACGCTAAAAACAATAGGGAAAATCTTAGAACCAGTGCGGTTTGTTCTGTAAGTCTTCTAGAAGTGACTTCAACAAACAGGAAGTAAATCAATGTCATTCTGTCTTAGAGACTAACACTGAAATTTTATTTGCAAAGCTTATTGCAATTTTTCTCCTGTTTTTAAATAGTGACACCCACAAATATATGGATAAGTCACTATTCTATTGTAGGAAGTTAGCACCCACTCCTTTCCTAGAAGAATGAAATATTCTAGGAAATATTAAAAAGGCAGAATATTATACCTCCCTGTGTGAGAAAAGGAGAAACATGCTCTTAGAAAGCAGCCCACACCTTTGCTAATAGCCCCAGAAAGGCTGGGCCAACTTATCTACAACACAAAAGACCTTCATCTTCAGGACATAATAGGATTAGCCCTCTACCTATCTTACCACATGACACCTGAGAAGATTGCATCACCCAGCAGGATTCAACCAGGCCTGGGACTCAAGATAACCTACAAAGTTACCCCTATGTGGCCTCATGGGAGTCTGACAACCAATCAGGATACATTTCTTGCCAAAGGAACAGGAAGCAAGTTCAAAGCCCAACAGAGGGTATAAATCTCTCTCCTTCTCTCACCCATGTTCTCTTTTTGCCCAGGATCTCAAACCATGTGGTCCTGTTCACAATTAAATCATATTTCCAAGCAGTCTCCATGTTTCCAGTGTCTTTCTTCCCATTTGGAACTGAACCAGATGGACATTTATTCCAACACCATGTTGCACATAAGGATCTGAGCCTAAAATATTATAGGAAAAATACAATAATTCTTGCCTTACAAACTTTCTACTTTTTTCTATTTAGTCAATCTATGAAGGATGAAAGTAAGGATAAGCACAATCATCTGTATCCCTCACCATTAGTATCACTCAGTTTGGAGATGCAAAAAAGAAGAAATCTCTATCTAAGCACTTTAAGGCAGTTCTAAAACTTGAAAAATTGCAAAAACGATTCTTTGTTTTAGAAGTTATTCTTCCAGTTTGAAGATTATGATTGGCATAGAACCAGTATGCTGCTTCACCTACTGTGTTGATTAAACCAATAAAATAAAATAAAACACCTAGGCGGAATTTAGATCTAACCAGTGAATATTGTGGAACTTCTTCTTTTTTAAAATAGTGGTAAAACTTACTGATGACTTAGTGAATACTGAAGAGATTGCACTACAATATGTATTAGAAATCCTCCTCCCACTCCCCACAAAATAATTCCTGCAGAGAGAAATATGTCCATATAGTCATTCTTTGATGAACTTGCAGATATTGATGGTACTAAACTGATATCAGAAGCAGCCATAAGAGTCTTTCTGTGCTGAAAAGCAAGTTTGCACACAGCAGGCAGTCATGGGGGAGAGGGGGGGAGAAATCTCTAAGGTGGAAGGTCATGGATGCTAAATAGGCCCAGACGGCTCGTGGTTTGTTTTTTATGGGGCCAAAGATTGGGTCTTCTCCCCTGGGGAAAATCTGTTGTCTCTCAGGTCTCAGTCACTCCTTGTTACATTAGCCCCCATTCTGTTTAGGTCATGCAATTTCTGAAGAAACCTTGACTTTTGTAAGCATCTTGGGGCCTCCTGTTTGCATATGCTTGGGTTTTAGCACAGTCAGAGCCAGCTCCAGCTTTTGATAGAAAATCCTAAAAAGATTTTTCCCAGCCCAAAAACATTATTTTTCTCAGAGAGTTCTATATTTTCTGGGGTGAGGTGTGGGAGTAAGGAAAGATGCTGCAAGCTTTAAGTGGAATCAGGTGCTGTTTTCCTGCAGGGACATCTGGAAAATGTCAAGGTCCTTGGTGTAACAGGTACTGGCAGATGAGCCCACTGCTTCCCACACAAAGCAACCTCTTTCCTTCTGGAATCATACATCCTGTCCTTTGTCCCTGGAACAGAGATCCTTGAGCTGGGTTAAATTACCAGCCACATGCTGAAAAATCAGCATCCATTGGCAATGCTAATAGGAACAAAAGATGGCATTTCCAAGAAAAATGCAGGCTCAGAATGAGTCACCCCAAATACTTCTGTCTAAGAACAACTGTATCACTTTATGACCAGGCTCCACCTGCTGGGGCCAAGAATCATTTCCGAAGCTCAGAGGATTCCACCTGCGAACATCTAAGTGCTGGGGGAATATGCATTGCCATAGTGATCTCTATTATACGGTATTTCTTAAGAAAGGAATAGTGAAAGAAAAAAGCAGTGTTGCAAGGAGAAGCATGGAGCTTCTTTACCTGCTCCATTCTTACACCGATTATGTATATAGTTTAGAGAAATATAGTTTAATGCGGCTTAGAAGGTTCTTTTTCCCTTGGATGATGCGTTTGCTGCTTTCTGGAGATAGCATTAGTAAAGGAATGACATATAAAAAGTGACCAGTCTTTTCTAGAATAGGATTATCTCTGTCACGTCTAATCATACTCCATCCTGGTTTTCTTGCTTCTCAGGGCTTGCATCAGAATAGTCTTGGTGACTCAAGTAAGTTAAAAGATGTAGATATAGCCTTAGGACAACTCACCGTGGCCGACTCGCCACAGGAGTCTCACTGCAGCCAATTAACTGCAGGACAATTCAATGTGGGATAACTCAAGAAAGGGACAAGTGAAGTGTAGCAGGCCTTGTCTTGCTTTAGGTTTGAATCTTCAAAGTCCTAGGATGAGGCTGGGGTGAACCAGAGCATGGAGCAGCCCAACGGCCAACC